AATCAAATACCATATATATATAAAATACCAAACTAAATTCGTTTTCAAATCTTTCATTTTTGATGCATTTCATTTGATACTTAAAAATACAACAAAAAACTACCAAATGTCGTACTTGAATTTGAAATGTAACGAAAACATAAATGTTGTCGAAAACAACGATTAACAAACGACCAACAATTTAAATTGAATACTTTACACGCAACAATAACGAATACAACAACMACAACTACAACAAACAAACAACAAATAACCAATGAACAACAACAATTTTGAATACATTTCTAAATGTACACCACTTACAAATCTATCTATCTACTATCTATGAAACTCTGTCCCACCCGAAATGCTTTTATTATCTAACATCAATTTTATTTAACTACTCTATCTCTCTTAACTATATATTTATGTATGTATAAATATATATTTTCAACTCGATTCGTTTGCATTTGACACGTGCGCTAAAAAAAAAAAAACAAAACAAAACAAAAACCAAAAACTAATTTAAAAAACGATAAATGATTGTAAATGTATAAATATGAATTGAAATCTTACAATACAAACATGAAAAATTCGATGAATTGAATGATAATTGTATTAAAATCGAATTGCCAAAACGTACAATGAAAATGCAAAAGAAAAACGCAAAACGCTTTAAAACAATCGCACGTATCCTCTACTACAATACCGTTACCTATCCACTGCAAACCGTTTCCGACGAGCCCTAAGTTCCCCAACAACCCACCCAGCCCTAAGAACCTCATCCCCAGCCAAGTGGGCGGTTTAAATACGCAAATGAAAATCAAATATCGAAACAACTTTCAAAAACAATGCAAAATTTTTGAATCGTATCAAATGTTAGCAGCGCTAGGAAGTAGAAGAGTGTAGCTAGCCAAGAGCTACCATTGAGAATCGCCAAGAGAGGCGACAAAATAAACAGTTAACCACTTAAGTGTAGCCAAGTGCCAAAAGCGAAGGCCAAAGATAGTATATAAAATATTCTTGCAACATAGTTTTAAGGTTTCTAAAACCAAAATCAAATCGAAATCGAAATCAAAATCGAAGCAACACGCACAGGCTCACAATAATTGTTCTTGCAGCAAGTTAATCAAAAATAAGCACATATATTAAAAGCTAAGTGTTGAAAATTGTTAGGTTAAGTTGAAAGTTCAAATGTTATTCGAAGAAATCAAATCAAATCAAATCAAATTAGATCAAGTGAATTTAGTCGTAAGTGCGCTTAGCGCCCTAATATGCTTCCTCGAGCCTCACTGCGCAGAGATTAGCTCTTTAAAGTAAAGTATACCCTGCTTAATGCAATGCACTCTTAAGGCTTCACAAACCTAACTAAACTCGTAACTACTAACTAACTAAGTAACTAACTAACTAACTAATGCTTGAATGTGTATTTTTGTCTACTTCACTTAACTATCTATTTCTATGTCTAATCTAAAATATATCTCTATATATGTATATTTATATATGTACTCAAGCCTTCAGCACTTCTCTAGTTGTACTACTCTATGTCAACTCTATGCACTCTTCTAATAGTTCTCTAAGTCCTATAAAAATCACACACGAAGCAACTGCAACAGCCACAGTCACAGCCACAGCCGATATAGTACGGCTATTTTTCGCCAAGTCGGAACGACTTGAGCCAGTCGTATATAGATCTATCAGATCTATGTCGATCTAGACAGCTAATGAGAGAAGAATTTTGAAAGCAGAGAAAGCAGAAACCGCACACACAGAACCTTGTAATCCCAATCAACTAACCTAATGATAGTGCGACGTTTTACAGTCGCCTTCTTTCAAATTTTCACGAAAGGCCTCGTCGAGCTACTCCCTGAAACTGGATCCGCCGGGCAAGGGCAAGGTGAAGGCCAAGCGAAAGCCTCTCAGCACTCCGGCGTCGCCGTCGCGCGTGCGCCAAGAGCCCCAATGCACCTGCATGTCCGCCGAGCAGTATGCGCGCTTGAGAACCGATCCACGTGTTAGAGGTGAGAGAACAAACCAATCCAAAACTAAGACTAAATACTACAAAACAAAAAACTAAAATAAAAATCCAAGTCAAAACTTAAAACAAAACCAATTCTCAGCCAAATCGAATCGAATAAGCAAATCGGTTAAGTCCATTCAGTCAACGAGCAATTCCGACTGCCACTACCCCAAAATTTTGTTTGCTCGTCTATTGCTTTACGTTTCCAGCTCATGTTTCTTCGAAAGATTTGCTTTAACGCGACGATCTCTATTTTTTCTCACTCTCCCTCTCTCTCTCTTTCGGTCTATATGGGGCATGTTTCGCCTGTATAGTTGTGTTTTATTTAAGCTTAGCCCCCGTCTCTTCACATATATATAAATAAGTAATACAATGTACCCCCGCCACTCTACCCAAAAGGCTATACAGCTAGAGATTAGGAGCCAACTCCACCGCATCCCACCCATCAAATCTCATCGCCATACTCATTGCAGGTTCATCCACATTGCCGCGTAATGTCGGCTCCCACAGAATCACCGATGTCGATGGCCAGCAGCAGGGCAAAGTTGTAAGCGCCGTGAGCAGCACCTCGCTCTATGATAATGTGGCTAGCGGTGGGCCGGGCGTGGTCCAAGGAGGCGGTAAGTGTTCAGAACAGTTTAATACTAATGTATATCAGCATAACAATACAATTTTAAGTAAATTATCGTGTTTAAAAATAAAATTAGCTCACTCAATGAACCAGTTCCATTCACATTTTAGTACTGCTTCCTCTCGTACTATATTAAAGACTGCTAGCTTCTCTCTCTGAAGTCAACTTGAAATATATGTATATAAAATATGCAGTATTAAAAATAAAATTTATTTAGATTCTATATTTTTATTTTCAATAATTTATCATTCGATTCGCTCCACTGTGCAATGTCTATTGCCAGCTCTGATTTGAAATACGATCCTAATAAAATGCTAAATTCGCTCTACCCCTTCCTCTCTCTCTCTCTCTCTCTCCCTCTCCCACTCTCTGTTTCTCTTCCCCCCCATAGATACCCTACAACGTCAGCTTAAAGGGCAAGATGGCTCGATGGTGGCCAATGCGGGCGTCAATACCAACACACCGGGCGTCATTGTCACCGGCGTGGGCAGCGGCTCGGACATGTGCACACAGAATCATGTGGGCTCCCAGGTGGGCCCAGACGATGCCGGCGCCTGCCAAATGGATATGGATCTGTCGAAGAGCGAGGGCACCCAGGTTGGCGGCGGACTGCACCAGAGCGTGGGCACCTCCACCAAGTCAACCGGCACACGCACCAAGGATTTCAACGATGATATGGTAAGTGAAGCCTACCAGTCGCTCACCTGGCTCAGCTTTGTGCCCAGCTACGGGCTGTCTGTCTGCGCCAGCCACCTAATCTATCTCTTTATCGCTCACACACACACACATACATACACACACACACCCATTTACAGACACGCGACGCGCACTCGCACGATATGCACCACCAGCACAACGTAATCAACAACAACACACGACGCAAGACCAAGAGCACCGAGGACATGAACGTCGACACGAGCACACTAAAGCGCATGCTAAAGCCGATGCCCAGCACTGAGAGCCCCGTCACGTCGCCGGAGATGGGGCGACGCCGCTACAACTACTACAATGCCAATGGCGCACAAACGCTGGGGCCGCAGCACATGCATCAGCACGGCATGGGCATGGGCATGGGCGTGGGCGTCGGTGGGGGCGCCGGCGGTGGCGGTGGCGGTGCTGGCGGCGGCCATCACGTCATGAACAACAATACCTTGGGCCGCAACAGCGGCAGTCAGTCGTCGCGCTTCTCCGGCTCGAGGTGAGTTTTGTGTCCGGAAATTGTTTGTGCCTCTCGCTAAATTCGTTTCTTAAACCTGGGCAGATCTTCGCATGAAATCGGTCGTGGTTATCCGCAGCGCAATCTGTACTTGGAATTGGAGCGAGAGCGCGAGCGCAGCTGCATCGAGGGCTCGCCGCCATCGGATAACGTGATGTTCGACAACCAGTGCTATGCGACCACGCCCAGCTCCAGCAATGGCAACTCCGATCAGGATCAGTCGTATGGGCAGCAGCAGCAGCCCCAGCAGCCGCATCCACAGCAGCAGTCGCATCAGCCGCATCCGCCGCACCCACAGCAGCGGGCATCCAGGCATCAGCACCATCAGCATCAGCAGGCGCCGAATGTGACGCCCACACCGGGCAGCCCCACCTCGCGGCTGCTCATGGAGTACGAGATGCACTTGCGCAATACGCTGGCCAAGGGCATGGACGCCGAGTCCTATAGCCTGCATACGTTCGAGGCTCTGCTCTCCCAGAGCATGGAGAATCTGGGTGAGTTGCCCTGGCCACAGCGTCACCTCACTTGAAGGCTTCAATTTAGTTTTAGTTTTAGTTTTTGGGTTTCGTTTCGCTTGGTTTTTCGCTTTTGGTTCACATTCGATTCCGTTCGACTTGCTGTACTCGTAGCCAATTTAGTTTGAACTCAACTTTTTGTTCTCTCGTTGTTGTTGTAGCTGAACATTCCGTCTTGTTCTTGCTCTTCCACTTCTTGTTTTTCTTTTTTTTTTTTTTAACCACCAACCTCCCAGCCACCCACTTGCTATCATTTTATTGTACGCCCCCCTCTCTAATCGAATTTTTAATTAGCTTGAGCTCGAATGTTGTTTTCACTTCGTGCCCTCGTCAATGTCTCCAATCAAGTCGCTTTTTTGATAGAACGGGGATAAAGAAAAAGACAAAAAGAGACTAGCTGGCATACCGAATAGCTAGCTAGCTGGACAGAGATAATCTGATTAATGCGGGTTCCCTTTCTTTCCGGGCATTTCGCAGGGCAAACTGCACAAGAATGGAATTCGTGCTGAAATCAGAATGGCTTTGTTAGCTGAATGCAGGGAGACTGCAGAGCTGGCAATAGCTATTTAAGACTATTATTTATAATCTGTATTCAAGAGCTTGACTGCTGCTATAGCAAAAGTCTCCATATATATAGCCACTTCTGCATATCAAAATCTCTCTCCTCAACTCAACCTAACTCACCTCAGCTCAGCTCTCTTCTAAATGTTATGCAGCATATTTTTCATTTTCTATCAACCAAATATTTTCATAATTCTAGATGTGATTTTTTTGTATTATTTGTCTCTTTGCTATCGTAAACTTCTCTCTAACTCTCTGTCTCTTTTAATATAAATATTTAAATAATTAAAACTTAAATGCTATCCATACATATCACAATATGCTCATCATGCGCCCTCGCACACAATCAACCAACACAATAACCATACAACAACAACAACAACAACCTCATCACTATCAACAACAACAACCACCATCACCACCACCACCACCAAACAACAACAACAACCAAACAACTATCATCAGAATTCGCTGAAAGCCTACCAGGATCAACACAGCGCAGTCCATATCCACTACGTAGGCGTAAGTAGTTCCATTGAATGCACGTCTCTTAACTAATGCTATACCAAATAAAAAGCCCATTAAATATATATTCGAAGAGAACTGAAATGCTGATGCTTGCCCTTAGCCGTTGTATTTAAATTAGTTTCTATATGGCAATACGCGAATCATATTCATTCATTTCATTTTGTCTCTTCCCTTAGCCAATGCAAAATCTTCAACCTTGCCGCTGCCGCCGCATCGCCCCCTATCCACCATACGGGATAAGGAACGCGATCGTGACCGGGATGGCTATTACAGCGATCGCAACGAATTGATTCGCGAGCGTGAGCGGGAAAGGGATCGCGGCTATCTGTCCGATCACAATGCTAGGTAAGTGTCCCATTTAAAGGCCTATGTGTGTATCATTATATAAATTCAATGTTCCATTTCAGTTTCTCGAACTCTCGCTGTGCCAGCTGCATTGGGGAATCGGCACGTGCTCAGTGGTTCCGTCACTCGGATGGCTGGCGTTCGGGCAGCTCGACCATTGGCTCCGGTTCCGGCCACGGCATGATGGCCCAGCAAATGGCCGGCTCCGGTCACAAGCGTTCGCCCTGGGACTCGCTGCCGTCGCTGCGCCAAGACAGCAGCCTCAACGATTCCGGTTATAAGAGTGCACGCGCTGACTCCTTGGAGCAACGGTAGCTATTCTTACATATTAAATATCTGAACTATATGCTAAAGATTTCACTTCCTCTTCACAGTGCTGAATTTATACGTCAGGATAGTTTGCGATCAGAGTATTTGAGCGATCGCGAATCACGCTATGGAATTGTACAACAGGCCTCTATAGAGAGCACCGATTCGCGCATGTGTTATCTCACATCGTCAGAGGTAAGTGTTGTTCAAGGGGAAAAACGCCTTTTGCTAAAATCTTGATTATAATTTAGGCGCCGAGTCATTTGAAATTATCAAAATACCTTTTGGCTGTATTTCAAACAGTTAACTGCATATTCACAAGCCAAATATCTTATTAAATATCTTAGCTAAACTTCTACTTCTTGTGTATTCAGCAAATCCCTTGGCTAAACTTTTCCATAGAAATAACCAAAACTCTTGTAGAACTTTTAATAGCTATCTCAATCACGATTCGAAGGCAGTTCAACGGCCTGTTGATTGCTTTGAGAGCACCTCGAGCCTTGGTTTAAAACTTATCCATCAAGTTTTCAATACACATTCTCTCTCTGTCGCTCTCTCGCTCACTTCACATCTGTCGTGCCAACGTCTTAAGCTCTATATAAATACCAATTTAATTCGCATAAGCCTTTGTGCTGCCAATTGCCTGCAACGTAGTGGCCCGAAATCCATCATAAAACTCAGCCCACATGCAGCTTCTGTAGAGTGGAGTCTGCTCAGCTCTCGCCTCTCCAAGCGCAGAGGACAACTGTATACTGCGCTCTATTTATAGGCAGACCGGGGCCAGGCAACTGGGTCAACTTTAGCAGAAGTTTAACTGGCGCTGTTAGTGCGCTTAAATTACTCTGTTAGCTAACAGTCGCGCTCATCGTTAACAGCAGTGAGTGCTGTGAATTTGTGTAGCAATTAACACAGCATCCAATGGTAACTGTATAAGTGAGACTGTGTGAGTGTGTATGAGTGTAAAAGAGTCGCAAATATGTGCATACATATTCCATATATATGTATATGTATTTATATTTGGGTACACAATGCATTCACACACACACACACACACAAAAGGAAAATAAATAAATAAAATGAAGAGGAGGGAAAGTCAACTGGCGCATTTGGCTGAGCTACATAAATGATATTTTTAGTTGCAGCCCAAACTGACCCAGTTTTGCCTTGATTAAAAACAAACTGCCAGGCATGGCATACACACACACACACTCCTAAGCATACAGTTACAGACAGGCGCCTTCTTTGCAAAAAAGGAGGAAAAACTTTCTCTGTTGCAACTCCCTCGGCTTGCAGCCTTGTCAACGTCAGCGCCGCTGCCTGCCTGACTGCCTACTGTTCGTAATCATGACAATGATGATGATGACGATGAGGATGATGATAATGTTGATGTTGATGCTAATGATGACGATGCTCAAAATGTGCAAGTGCTTTCTGACTGCATATGAAATTGCTGTGCAGCCGCTCAACGCTTTTGTCTGCTTTGTCGCCTTGGACTCGGGGCACGACCCGGCATGTCAAGCCGGCTAATGTGTGTGTGTATGTGTGTATGTGGGCGTGGCATGCATAATGCATGTGAGGCTGTAATGTGCATACTTGTGGCACGCTTACAGCCATTTCTGATCTCTTTGCCTTGACACTAATGAGGCGCAGCAGCAAAGATGTCGCGTCCACTTCAATGCAGCCACGCATCATTGGGCAGCAGCTTTAGCAGCAGCCTTAACAGCAGCAGCGGCAGCAGCCCAGACGCACGTATACTGAGACAACAGTTGAGCGCTGTTAATTGCAATAAAACTTCCATTGTTACACTGACACATAATCCGCATAACAGCCATCCCACTCTTTCCCTCTGGTGCTCTCTCTATCGCTCTCTTTCCCATTCTCCACTATATACAGGCCCCTCTTTTCCAGCATTCTTGACGCGGCGCATGCGCTTTAGCCTTGCTTTACGCTCTTCAATTGCGCTCACTCGCGCATCTTTCGCTCTTTGCGTCGCAGCTTTCGCTTGCCTTCCAAGCTGCTGCTAMGGCTTCTGCTGCTGCTGCTGTTGCTGTTGCTGCGACTGTTAGACTTCCAGCTGCGAAAGCTTTGATTGCGTTGTCGCGTTGCTTCGCTCCGCTTGCCGCTGTCATTGCTGCTGCTATTTTGCTAGTGTTGCGCTAACTTTTGCTCTGTCGTTTTATAATCAACTCAAAATTTTACCTGTGTGCGTGTGTGTGTGCATGTGTGCCTGTATGCGTGTGTGTTGTGTGCGCGAACCAGCGTGCGTATATCTAATGCCATTTTGCAATTAAACAATTCGCCAAACAAACGAATTTAATCAACAATCGAACAATTATTCCAATCACTGCCCGAGCGCTGTACGAATATTGCCAGCCAACAAATGTGAAAAATGTGTATAAAAAGTTTTTTATTTTAAAATTCACGAGCAGCTTCCGTCGCGGCAGTAACTGCAATTTTCGCTCTGTATGTGCTTCTTGTGCCACTGCGTGTGTGTATGTGTGTGAGCGGGTACGTGTGTGTTGAGTAGCGCTCAAAAGTATGCAACGTGTGGAAAAATTCGCTTTATTGCAGTTTTGTTGAAATACCACCAACAAGAGAAGCAGCAGCAGTCGCAGCAGCAGTCACAGCAGCAGCAAAACACAATTGCCAACAACAACAATAAAATCTACGACAATAACAACGACAACAACAATAACAACCACAACAACATGAAATAAAAGAACGCAAGGCTCACGTTAAGCAAGTAAATGTCAATAAAAACCCCAAAAAAAAGAGAAAAAAGAGAAGAAAAGGCTGGCATAGTAAATAAAGCAAAACACAAGCACAGCATAGTCTAAATCTAACCTCTTTGTGCATGTGTATATGTGTGTGTGTGTGTGTGTATGCGTGTGGGTGTTTGTCCTGTGTCATTTTATGCCAAGCGAAGATTAAATGCTTTGTTAATCTCTCATAAGACACAAGCATCGCCTAAGCAGCTGCCCAAAATAAAAGCAACTCAAGCGATTTCTGTGCCACTCGAGCGTGTATATCTGTCATCATGCGCGTGGGCATATATGTGTGCGTGTGTGTGTGTATGTGTAGTAATAATAATAAAGCTGGCAATCAAATTTGCTACCAGATTGTCGCACGCTGCGTTTGCATTTGGCATTTGTGATGAGCAGCACGCGGCGTATACGTAATTTACGCGCTTTACAGCCAAAGCCAAACAAATGTCCTTTAATTTAGACTACAGCAAACATTAAACACAACAAATTCAATAACTATTAGCAACAGTACGACTAAAAAACAGTTCAGTATAATAGAAAATGTAAAAAATGTCGCTGCCAAATGCGATTAACATCACGTTTTTTGCCCATTGCGGCACGTGCACAGAAACTGTATGTGTACGTGTGTGTGTGTGTGCGTATGTGAGTGTGTGTATGTGTCGATGTTGTGTTTTGATAAGCCAACAAAGTTTGTAGCTTGTGCAATGAGGCCGGTGTTTGTATGGCTGCCTGCCTCTGGGATACGAAATCCGTGACTCTTGCCCAAGCGAATAGCCGTTGCCTGCTATATCCGAGCTCTGCAGTTAGCTTAACACTATTAGCTGCAGTTCAGCGGCTTTAAATCAATGACAAATAAGCCATTTACCTGTTAAATCTGATAGCTGTACTACTTTGCTTTTCCCATTTGACGTTTTATCATGGAAAGATGCCTGTGAGTGTAAAACTCTATTAGGAAGTTCCTATTTGTATATAGTATAACAGTTTAGCTTTTAGCTTGCCCCGAAATATACATACATATATACAAAACTTCAGCTTACTTGGTATCAAAATTAATTAAATTAATATTTAAATACTTCGATTTCTTCAAATGCTACATAGCATAATCTACAACACTAATATTAATATAATTTAATATCAATAGAATTAACTATATAAATTTGTAGTCTCTTCCCTTCCACTAATATTGCCCACAATAAATTTAATTATGTGTTTACTTTTTATTTACTACGCTATCAACAGCGCTTTTCACACAGGTCCGTCTTAGTCAAAGTGTACTGTAAACAGAGAGCCTGAGTATGTGTGAGAGCGCAAACAAAGCTGCGAGTGCTGCTTAAATAATGTAAATCGTCTGTCACCTTAACATAGCGTTAAAAGCTTTCCGTCGAGCTTTCGTGCGCACCTGCACTCTGTTAAGTAACCGCGGCTGGCAAGCACTTGAAGCCGCGTCGCCCCATGTTTGGGGACTTAAAAGCTTTGCCTTGTCCACAGGAAGTGGCCAGGCGATGGCAAGTGGCGCGCACATTGCTGTTAACGCTCTGACAAGCTGCTGTAATGGAAGCTTGTCTAAGTGGGTGGTGCAAGCGCCCAATCCGCTCACCGCCTCACCTACTCAGCCTCTTCCTCTCGCCCTTACTGCCTTGCCTGCTGATTGCAAGCTGCTGAAATTTGTAACTAATTTACAAAATTTCGCTGCAATTTGTGTGCAGCTTATGAAGCCAGAAAATCTACGCAACAATTTGATGCTGGCCCTCTAATTAGGGTCCTTGTTAGACTTGATACCTGTCACGAGCTATTAACTCACAATTTTACACAGCTCGACGGCCGGAGAGTGGCAGCAGCTGAAATTTAAGTCCCGTTCGTGCAACGTTTATGTGGACTACTATTATGCTAATTGAGCGCAGGCAATGCGTAAGCCATTTATCTCAATCGCTTTAATAAGTGAATAATAATGCGCATATTTTAAATATTTATAAATACATAACTCACAATATTCTACAAGCTGTCCTGGGTAGCTCTCTCTCTGTCTCTCCCTGTCTCCCTCTCTCTCTCTTTGACGGGTATAAAATATTGTGCAGTCAGCTTCTGGGCAGCGCACGATCAATCAAATTGATTAATTACCAAAAAACGTTTTAAATATGCGGCACAGGACATTAATTTATGTGGTAGAAGACTCAAAGAACAACAAAAGAAAAACCCAAAAAAAAAAGCCAAATTATATATAAAGCGCGACTTTTATTAGATTGAGAAACTCGGATGAGAGGCAAACCAAAGTTTGGCACCTACGCTTACATATTTGGGGCTTAAGCCACTTAGCTTGAGAACCTTTTTATTTATATACCCCATGTATGGAGGGTGCTCGGCATTGGGTATATTGAGAGCGTGTCTAACTGTGCTGAAGAGCTCTGCAATTAGCGCTCGATCAACATGCCTCAGCCTGATACTCTCATTTAATCTCATCTTAAGTCGTGAGAAGCATTGTGAGACCCTGCTCAGCATCCTAAAGAAAGAAATTCCTTCCCTCAATTTGACTAAGAGTCTTAAATCAATTTGACTAACTATTTGTAGCTCACACCCTGCAGACTGCTACGCAGGGCATGCCCTTTTGTGGTTCAGTTAGCAGCTGTAGCTTTGTCACTTTGGTCAGGTTCATTAGCTGTGACAAGCGTGAACCTTTTTTGTTTCGTGTCTTTTATCATAGATGTTGCGTCAATTGCGAGCAGCTTCCCTTTTTAATTTGTTTAAATTTCATTTCGCACCTTTTTCATCTTTGCTTCATCCTCTTCGCTCATTTTTTTTATTCGCCGGAGAGCAGCGAAACCCGCTGATATCATTAGGTTAAATTGACGAACGCCCTGCCAAACAGCTGAGGTTGCCCGAGTCGTCCCAGAGGCGAGAGCTGAAAAACAAAAGCTGAAACTTTTTACCCACACACACACACACGCACATACAGGATAAACGTGTGGGTGTGTGTGTGTGGAAGGGACTGAGTTTAGTTGAAAAAAGCGACGCTAAATCATTTGGCACGAAGCATTTCAAGCAAATTGACGCCAGGACTAAATGGAAGATCTCGAGAGTTGTGCAGACGTGGAAATTACAATTTGGCTGGAGTCTTGAATCTCTCGTCGCTCGCTGCTGCTGCTGCCCTGACATTCCCACTGACATTTCAATAAGTGAAGAAACTAATTTTTGTCCTGCAACAACAACTAGAACAACTGCAACACCAGCAACAACAACAACAACAACAACAACAAGAGCGCGCAGCAGACGCGCACAAAGTTTCCGAGCAGTTTCTCATCTCAACTTGTGCAACTATCGGTCTTATTCCTCTTTCAGTCTTTTCTTTTTTCCACCGAGCAGGCGAGAGAGAGAGCGACAGAGATGGGGAGTGCAAAAACGGCAATATTAATTTGCAGCGAGTGCATTAAGGCGTGAGTGGGCGGGGTCGCTGTCTCGTGGCAGCTGTCAGCGAAAGTTCGACGTGTACGTGGACAGTTGTCCAAGTATTTGACACAAAAATAACAGTTTTTCCTACTACACTTTTTCCCTCTTTTGTGAGTGAGTGTGTGTATGAGTGTGTGTCTGTAGGAGTGTGTGTGTGTGTTTTTTAGTGCTGACCAAACGAGAGTTTTGTGCAACTATTACACGTATTTCAGTTACCAACTTGACTTGTCCCCCCTTCCTCTTTTGCTAATATCCTTTTGCAGCAGCTTCCTCTCCTTTGGCAATATGAATTGCTAAAAGTGCACAGCACCCACATTGCACCAGCCCCGCCCCCCACTCTTAAGTTCGTGCTGCCAATGCAGCATTGCCTTGAATTCACTTTTCGATAATTCCCACCCCGCTCTCACTTATACTCTTATTTTCTTTTCGTTTTTTTTTTTCGCCTTCCTTTTTTTTTTTATCGAAATGACAGCCGTATGTAACACACATGAGCCATTCCGTGCCGGGCTGGGCGTGGCATTGCGGTCATCTCAGCCTGTCTCTCGCCCTGTGTGTGTGTGTGTGTGTGTGTGTCACAGATTTGCTGGTTTGCTTTTGGCCGCAGGCTTATGAAACTTAAGCGCATTGCAATGCATTTCATTGCGGCCTCTTCAAGTTGGCAGCATTTTTTGGGATTCGGTTTCAATGCAGTTTATGGCCAGCAAAGTTTTGCGGCCAACTGTAAGTCCTGTGATGTATGAGGGCGCAGTGAGAGATGCCACCCCCTACCTACCGCTCCCCCTTACCATTTTTTTGCCGCTCTGCCACATAGGCTGCAATATTGGATAAAAACTGCGAGTTGGGTAATATATTGCCTGCAGGTTGCATATGTGGACTGCTTTTAATGTGTTTTCGCTCTCTCTCTCCACCTCTGTCTCCCTCTCCCTCACTCTCTCTCTGCCTTTTTGCTCAAAATGAACTTGGCTAAAAGTTTTTGGCTTAAGGTACGCTGCGAATTGCATTTACTTAATTTTCCTGTGTCTAAACTAGAATTTCACGTGCAAAGGCAAAAATGGCAAGAAATAACTTTGAGTCGAATTTAATTTTGGTTTCCTGTTACAGCAAAATACACAAATTTCTGATGCAGAGCAGTTGGCAGGAACATAAGCTAGTTATGACAACTATAAATTGGTCTTGTGATCATGTTTCTGAATTTCTAATGAAATCACAATTTTCGTTTCGTTTTTGCCTGCGTCAGCTCAGCAATCATGAATCCAGTTCAACCTTTGTAAGCACCTTTTGTAATACAAAACCTTAGGCAAAACTTTTGGTAACTGCTTATGCGTTGAACTGTATATAACAACAACAACAACAACAACAAAAAAGAAGCAGAAGAAGAAGCCATCAAATTTGCATATATTCTAAGCTGGAGCTTAATTCCCAGTTGCGTCGTCGTCAAGTCAAAACAGCTTTAAGATATATAATTTCTGGAATCAGTTGAATTACTTGGCAAATAGTGCGAGCATTTACCTCATTCCATTCCATCTCCACTCCTCACTCCCCACTCCCGACTTACCCGCAAGCTTCGGTACCATTTGGCAACTCTCTTGTGGTAGATTTTAAAATGCTTACACAACTTTTCACTCACATCGCCGTTGAGTTGAGAGAGTTTCAGAGAGTTTGCGGAGTTGAAGTGCAAACAAAACTTTCATGCCTTTAACCAAAAACAAAGATGGAATCGTCACGAACTCTGGGTGTGCCAGGGCAATCGTGACTCTTCTTTAATCAGATGGCTAGCAGCGAGGTGCCTTTAAGCAAATTATACAAATATAGTCATAATAAAGCCTTTACAAAAGAGCCCAGCCCTCTGCAAATGAATGGAATTGCTGAATACGAGAATGCCAAACCAGGCGTATGACAGACGCGACAGCCAGCCGAGGAATGGCATCGCATGGAATGTGGCAACACAGTAGGCAGGCGCATTCATTTATTCGACTGCCAACTGAAACGAGAAAAAGCGTGAGAATGAAGAGCGCGGTGGGGGGAGGGGGCCGAGAAGGGAGAATTGCCAACTGAGTGGCAGACAAGAGCAACGACAGGCAGTTAAAGTAAGCTGGCAAAACACTTAAGTCAAAACTGAAACTGTGCCTCCGAATGGAAAACTCAATTCGAGATGACAATCTTACATGACAAAAAGAGAAAAAAAAATAAAAAACAGAAAAAAAGTATAAAGAAAAGAAAATACAGAACGAATACGAAGGAATATACTTGAATGTAACAAAAGCCCAAAACATCAATGACAAACATTTTAACAATTGAACAAACTGACTGTGGGGCCAAAAAACATTATTTTCCTCACATTTTCCCATTTTTCCCAGCCCCTGCCTCTCACACATGAGACGTGTGCGCGTACGAGTTGCAAATCAAGTTAGCGTGAAAGCAAAGGTGTGGGGCGAGGGCCGAGGCCCGGCTGGAAGCCAAAAAGAAAGACGCAAATGGCAAATGGCTGGCTTGTTTCGTTCCGCCTTTTGACTCGCCGCTCCTTGATTTCTTCCTTCCGCCAGCGAGCTGGCGCGTAACGGCGTGTAAGTCTTACCCTAACCCGAAAAAAAAACGTGAAAACAGAAGCCCATTGCCAACTTTTCACTTGCCTATTTGGAGAATACCCTGCTCAGGGCTTATTTAGCTGTAGCTATGAGCAAAGAGGTCAACAGGTCAGCATTTCAAAGTCAAACCATTTCGAATTATGGCAGAGTCTTCTCTGCTCAAGATATTAGCATAAAGCTCAGGTATTCCCAATATCTGTCTCTGTCTCTCTCTCTCCTCTCAGCCTCCGCTATTAACCAGCTAATTATAGGGCATCTTGGCGTCGTCTGCTGCGCATTTCACATGTGTATTTTTTCGCACCTTTGTCAAAAGTCATAAAAAATAATAAAATGTGCGAACACACAACTACAACAACAATAACAACAAGCATCAGCAAAAGTCAGAGGCAAGCCATATATGAATCCGCAGCCTCAACCGAATGCGAATGCGAATCCGTGCTCCTCACATGAGCGCACCCAAATATGACGACCATAGCCCCCTGTACGTGGCACCCCTTTACGTCCGCCTCCTGCGCCTGCCCCGCCCCTGCAATACAGTTGTAAAGGGCGCGTGTTGAGTTCCTTTTGCATTTTGTATGTAAATGTAAATGTCGTTTGGCATTCGCGCATTTTAAGCTTCTGCCTGGCAACCGTACGGGCCTGAGGCGTGGAGCCGGCAGCGAGAGGCGTGGCAGGCTTTTACCTTTAGTCCTCATTTTGGCACCTCGGCACTTTCGGCGCTTGGTAATTGGCATGTGTTCAGCATTTTTGTACATTTCGCACAGTTTGCAAGAACCGAAAGTTTACGCGACACGCCCACAAAGGCGGCAGCACAAAGATAGCGACTGAGATAGAGCGAGAGAGAGCGAGAGAGAGAGACAGGGAGAGTGGGAGTGAGCAAGGAAACGACACTGCTACGGCCCATCCGCTTTGTAAGTTGTCGGATTACGTGGCACGGTTGGCAGCCAAAAGATATGAATATAATTAAATGTAACAACTACATTTTTACCTCTTAGAAGGCAATGTTTAAATTGAGGCGCAGCCTCGCGTTTGACTCGTCTGCAGTCGGGTGTTTATGGCCAGGGCCAAAAGCGGCGTAAGGCCATCAACTAAATTGGCAGTACAGCCGGAAAAGCAAAGCATAAAACCTGACTGCCAATTGTTGTTGTTGTTGCCCTTGTTGCTGCTGCTGCTGTTGTTGTTGCTGTTGTTGTTGGTCAACAATTAAGGCAATGACAAGCGCAGATTAGTCCAAAGTTGGAAATTAACTTGAATTGAAATGCTGTGTGCTCCTTCAGCTGCTTGAGATTAAGTTTTCAACTTTATGCACCAAATGAGTTTTTTAATTGGGCGCCCACCTAAAACAAAGAGAATTGCAGCCATAAAACACAAAGGCAGTTTACTAAAAAAAAAAATAAACAAAACAGAGAAATAAAGAAACAATTGTAATTTGGTAAATCAAATAACAAAGTCAAATTGCATTTTAACTTGAAATCGCACAATGACACAAACTGAAAGTTGCAAACTTTCTGCCTGGACTAAAACTAGGTGAGAGACTGAGAGAACTGAATAGTGTACAGTTAGCTTTAAAAAGCAGTGGACTCTGTTGTCTTAGAGTTTGAATTGAGTGTGGCAAAACTGTAGTTAAGCAATTTAAGCAAATGTTTTTAATAAACAACTTGTTTTTTAATAAATAAATATTTGCTGGTACTTGAGATATATTTCTTGCATTCTATGAATTCATCTAAAAATATTTAGTGGGCAAACACATTTTACGCATTCTCTTTAATTTGCTTTGCAACTCCATATGCCTTTGTAGTGCATTCCTTGCATTTTTTGTTGCCTACTTTTTGGGGCAGCCAAAAGAAACTCGAGACTTTTGCTTGTGGTCGGATTTTACATAAATTTGAAATGAATTTGCAATAAATCATAGATAGACATCAACTATGTATTTGTAAATAACTGAATAATCAATTTATTCATGCCCTCTATCTTTCTTTCTCTCTTTCAGGTAAGTCTCGATGCAATTTGCTTTTGTTTTCTTGCACAGCTCGTGCTGCCTTGGTAAGTATTTATATTTATATTTATATTTGTGTGTGTGCATTTATATATGCATCGTATTGAATTTGTGCAATATTTGGAATTTATGAGGCCACTGAAAATGTTGCTAATTTATGAGTGTCTCCTGGCCAGGACACCTCAAAGCCAATAACAAAGTTGGTTAGTTATATAAGTGTGACTGTATCAGCGTGCCCTCACTCTCTCTCTCTCACTCTCTCCTTTGCCTCTATCTCTCGCTCTTTGTGTGCGGCTCGCTCTGCTTGCGGATATCCGCATGCAAGCCATAACTCAATAAAGCATTGTCCAGAGCCAAAGCCATAGAAAGCGAAGCATAAAACAAAGGCAAAGGCAATCGCAATGGACAAACGACCAAAACTAAAACCCAGCAACACCAGCAGTCAAAGATACAATCGAAATGCAGTAGGGAGAGAGATGGAGTGAAAGAGAGGGAGAGAGCTGATGGGACGGTAGGTGTAGCGCATAAAAAGGCAGACAGATTAGAAGAATAAACAAAGCCCAGGGCTTGACTGGGCGACCGAGCAAACCGGGCAACCGGGCAACCGGGCAACCGGGCGAATGCTCGACTGCTCAACTGGATGCTCACTGGCCTCCGACTGTCATTGGGGCCAAGAAATAAACATTAACTGTAATTTAGTAGGGCATTGTGCTTAAGCGTCGACTCGATTCGCCTCGCCTCGCCTCACCTCGCCTCGACTAGACTCGAGACTCGAGACTCGAGACTCAAGGAGACTCGAGGAGACTCGACGCAGTCACTGCGCGCTCTCAAATTATGGTCCATGGCTGGGGAAGGCGGGCGAACGGAGCCAGCATCGCGTGTTGCCAGTCTCATGTTACGATAGGCGTTTCGTGCTGGTCAAAACGCTGCGGGAGTCCTCAATGCGAAGGCAATTGTTATTTGCCTTTGCCGTTGCCTTTGCCTCTGCCTTTCCCTTCACGGGCAAGTGCACAGTTCTACACAGCAGCGGCCAACAATTAGATGGCAGCAGCTGGCCGCCAGATACAGTTACAGCAACAGCTACACACACTCACGCTCACACGCACACACACATGCTAGAGAGGAAACTAACGCAAATAGGCAAATGGCAAACATGGCACAATAATCGACAACAATGGAAATGTTGTTGGGCGCTGGCTTTATGAATATTGCAAAGC